GTCCAATGAAAGGTTTTTTTTTTTGAAAACAAGCATATCATTGAAATTGTTGGATTTGTGCTATCGAATGGATGTGGAAAGTTGAAAGAAAAGCTGTGGTCACTGAAAATCGCTCAAGTGTGAAACATATTTTTTGCACTGCTAGAGGCCAGATTAGGTTTCTTACTAAAAAACCAAGCACGTTCTCAAAATTTTTGAGATGTAGGCTATCCAACGGTTAGTAAAGCTCTACAAAGAAGCAAAAAACGCGTTTTTTTTCAAGTGGCTGAAAATGGGTGCGAGTGGAGAAAAGCATCCTGTTATCTAAGTGTGTGTTCATTGCACCATACTATTGTAGTGCTGTTAGCAATTTGAAGTGTTATGCAATCTACTACTTACTACTCTCTTATTAACTCCTTTGCAACTTGTAATGTGTGCATATGAGCCTCTTTTGTTCGAGACCGTTCCGTATAGTTATTACAACTCATTACTAACGAATTGTATGAAATGACAGACAAGCTTAATTGAAGGATTCAGTCATTATCGACCAATTTTTTTATGATTCTGGGGGAAAAGGAAAGATTTTGTTATTTTTTTCCGGTGTGAAACGAACTTATGTGGTCGTTCCATCATTTTCTTTTCTGAGGGTTATTTTCGTTGTCTACCAGGGTTTACTGAAAAAAAATCTTTTGCTGGACGAGAAATCTTATAAGACTACTGATAATCGTTTGACAGTTTTAATCTCGAACAATCCATAAATTTATGTTTTTTTTTGAAAAGGGTTCTTTAGAGCGTCGTAGCGAAAAACATAAGATTTGTGCCACACACAAGTGTGGTGGCTGTGGGTCGATAACTGCGAACAATATACTGGCGCAGGACGCGCCTCACACGTGTTAAGCGATTTTTGTTTACTGAATTTTCGAATTTTCCTTCGCTTCGAAAAAATTTTACACGGAACGTATTTGAAGTCATTCTTTACAAGCTCATATACTTTTTGTGCATAAACGTCGGTCTTGGGTTTAGGTTTATCAGTTGGTTTTATTTGGTAAAACAGGACGACAATGAAAAGTCCGCACCGTGTTATGGTAACCGTGCAATTCTCAATACTATTCCGTTTAACGGCGAAGTGGAGAAACGGCCACTTTGTTTAGACAAAGACTTTCTATTGCACTCTTGATAACCATTGAGAAGCTCTAATCTTTGGCTAGTGCTCTAAAGAGACCGATTGTCGAAAAGAAGCTCCTTGTAACCCTTGAGCGAGAAGGAAACATTATGTTTTACACACGCGCGCTTTCCTCGTAGAAGAGGGCTCTTCCTATGGACTATACCACTAATCATTAGATAGCGCAAGTTTCCGTGCTTCTAACGCTATGCCGAAATTCTAGAAAAACCGTTTTCACTGCAGTGTAGGCAGGGAAATAAGATTGACATGCATACACTGGCATTTGTTTTTCGGCTGATCTATGGGCTGGTGGGAGGAGGGCACTAGTAAGGGCTGCTTGTGGTTTTAACACGGAGTTCGATTGATGGGGCTGAGGCGACTATTACTTAAAGTGTGATCTTTGTTATTCAATTGAGGAATTTTTTCTCCGTTTCGAAAAAACTCCACACCAAAAGATTTGTTCTACGTGTTCATGCACTTTTACGCTTCCAGCGAAGTAATAGCAGAAGGAAACGGCCGATGAAGAGCACAGTTTTATTTTGAACGCTGCAAAGTGTACGGAAGGGCCTTTTTAAAAAACGGCCATGTATGCGCACTAGAGAGATCTGAGCTTTCGAATGATTACTAAAACTCCTTATGAAAAATTCATGTCCAAAGAGATCCTTTCTTTCATTCCTTGGCGTCTAGCAGAAATAATTGAGTTTTTTTTTCCAGTTCCTATTGCAAAAAAAATTGGAAAATTTCTGCCAAACAGAAAAACTTCTCAAATGAGTATCGGAGGTTCGCACGGTAACGTTTCGGCGCGTTTGAAACATGACATTGATTTTCCCGCTAGCTCAGCGTTGCAGGCGTTTCAAAGAAAACCAAATAATTTTTCCGGAGATGTTGCGAGCATTTACGCTACTTAGTGGTAAAGATTAGCTTAGGGGAAAAGATTTTATCCTAGAGAATATATAAGCGCGATGATGATAATAGCGCGTGACACGTGAAAAGCATATTTTATATCTTGAATGTTTTTAGGGCTGTAAGACTTCTCGAAAAAGCAAGTGCATTTTTTGAACTCTCCGAATACTAGTCTATCAAATAAATGATGATGGGTTAGAAAAAGATTTTAGGGAAATGTAAGCGTGATAATAATAAGAGCGCACGCCGAATGTAAAACATGATTTTATGTTGAACACTATGGCTTTGTTAAAAAGGCCTCTTAACACTTCAAAGACCATGTGGGACGTTTTCTTCCACACCGCGCGACGTGAAACCTCATCAGTTACTGTGATGGCAGCGGTCGCGCCTCGTGAGAAAGGCGCTGAATCTCGTGAGAAGATGACTCCTCCAGACAGCATGATGGATGCAAGCAGACGATCCCAGGTGGTGTGAGGGAGCATTTTCATCATGAAATGATAAAATTTCATTGAAGAAGTTTCTACAGAGACATTGTCATTAAAGAGAACATTTATACCTTCCATACTTCATCTACATTTCTAATGTTTCAATGAGAAAACTAGGCGCTAAAAATCAGTCTATATTCTTTTTATTTTGACTGCCACTATGCAGTGGTATGATGTTATAGTATACCCAATATTGTGGAGTGCTGTGCAAAAACGTTCGCGTTAGCAGGGATTCGAATCCACATCTCACTCCTTCCAGGAGCGTATGCTAACCAATGCACTACCGACGCTCGTTTTGCACAGCACTCTTATTTACACTATAACGCGTTGTCTGCCAACAGCCAACCGTTGACGGTCTGGCGGGGCAGCCGCTATCGGCATTGAACCCATTCTGTTTGTGTTGACAGACATTGGATATCGATAATCAGTCTAGATTCTTTTTATTTTTGACTGCTACTTGCAGTGGTATGATGTTATAGTATACCCAAATATGTGAGTGTGTGCAAGACCCCAGACCGCGTCGACGGTTGGCTGTTGGCAGACAACGCGTTATAGCGTAAATGAGAGTGCTGTGCAAAATGAGCGCCGGTAGTGCAATGGTTAGCATGCGTTCCCGGAAAGAGTGAAATCAGGGTTCGAATCCAGGCTGACGCAAAACGTTTTTGCACAGCACTCCCACATATTGGGTATACGGCGCTAAATGTTAACCATAATGATAACGACTATGATAGTGATAATGATCATGCTTTCGATACGACATTGATAATGATATTGATAGTGATTCACTGTTTGAGCTGTTTTGTGAGGTTTGATAATGCCACTTTCACAGTGTTGCATATTGCAGTGACCAAAAGTCCAACATGGTAGCTAGTAAAATGAATCATACATTCATTCGATAATGGTTTGTGATGTTATTAATGATAGTGATAACGATAATGGCTGTGAAAGTGATAATGACAATTACAGTGTTAACTATAGTTTAAAGTGATAATGATGATAGTAATAATGATGGCGGTGATAATGATAGTGATAATGATGTTAGTGGTAATGACAATTATAGTGGTAGTGATAGTGGAAAGTGATACGTGATAATACTACTGATGATGGGTACTGATAGTGATGCTGGTAGTCGTAATGATAGTGATAGTGGTAGTAGTAACGATAGTGATAACGATAGTGACAGCTTCTTAGTAAGTGGTTACCCATGCCCCAAGGCGTACTCTCCTCTGTCTCTGCTGTCATTGTCAGTATTCCCACGGTCTCAACGACCCTACCGAGAGAGCGGAATGGAATGAAGGAAACTTGCTGCAACAGAGCGCATGCACAACGACAGTTTCGCACAGAGTCGCAGACGTCCTCGGCTAGCGAGTGCCGCACAAGCGGGGGCGACACCGCCTGCCTGTCAGCGGTGGTCGCCGAAGTGTTAGGAAAAGCGGCTTTTTTCAGTTTGCCGAGGTTTCAGGTTTCTACTGTGCTAATACTCATATAAAAAGTCCTTGCCCAAAAAAAATTCTCTGTAATCTGATAGAGCACTAATCCCGCCTCGAACTGTGCGGAGAGCAGCTTGCAATGTAGAGTGGTTAGCTGTTTGGTCATCTGGATAAGGCTGCATATTCGATCCGCTAACACGACGCGCCACAGCAGACTTCTTCGAAGTCGCTTTATGACGTTAATAGTACTGAAAGTTCTTCTGCGACGTAATTATCATATAAAAAAGCTCAGTTGTTTAACAGATCACTCCTTTTTGTAGAGAAACGTGGAACTATGGAGTACATCTCATATCGAACATTTTTTGGCATTTAATAAATAAATAAAATTCGGATTTGAAAACATACGGTGTACGACTTTTTAGAAGAGATTATACAGAAGTGGACGCAGTGAGTTTGCGAAATGTGTGCGCTGGTTTCGTTGTTACCCTATAAATCTACGCATCGTATCAAAACTTTTTTTTGCTTTAACTAAATCTACAGAAGAACCCTCCATGTTAATCGAGAGCAAATGACTTCCTGTGAAGCTTCATAGAAGGAGATCAAACCAGCAACCATCTCCCCGTGGCCAGCAGCATTACTAACCATTCAGAACTATGAACTGCTCGAGGCTGGTGGCGGGGCGGGGCTACGTCGTGAGCTTGTCGTACCCAATGTCTTAATGATATCATCCGTTTTCTAGTTTTGAATCTTGCTAAATTGAAGAATAGAGTAGCAAATGGTTGGCTAAAAACATTCAAAACGAGTCATAGTTGGCAGATGGACATGTCAGTGTGGGGACAGCGGCCGCCATAGCTCAGTAGGTTAGAGCGTGGGTATAATAAGCCCAAGGTCGGAGGTTCGACCCCTGCTGGCGGCACGCTATTTTGCGTCCGTTTAATGACGAACTGACGCTTTCCCAGGCGCTCAAATTCATAAGGATACATTCGCACTCTTCTTAAATTTGTTAGTAACATTGTCCTTTCTATAGGTGTAAGAACAACGGCCGCCATAGCTCAATCGGTTAGAGCATGGGTCTGATAAGCTCGAAGGTTGTCAGGTTCGACCCTGCTGGCGGCAGATCGGTTCTGTCCACTAAAAAGGGGGAGCACGTGAAATCATCAGGGGGGGCAAAAAAAAGGGGGGGGGGGGGGGGTGAAAAAGGGAGGGGGGGGGGGGGGAGAGTAA